AGCATTTTTTCTTCAGGTAGAAAAACCAAATATTTTCTTCTGATTTACTTTATACCTCTAAGTTTATAATTATTGTTGTTTTATTTTAGTGGAAGTAAAATGAATGGGAAGCATATTTATTGGTCTACAGTTACATAAAAAAATTTTATTTGAGTAAATTACAAATCATTATTTAAAGAAAATTAAGTGTTTTTTTTAAACTCATGAGCTGTTATTTAGAAAGGATAAATTAAATGATACACGCCAACGCACATTGCTATTCGAGAAAGAATGTTATTTAAAAATAAGCTATTAACTTTTTAGGCTTTTGCTTAAAAAGTAATTTTGTTTCTGCACACAATTAACATTAAGGACCAAAATTCTGAGATCATTCGAATCTTAGGGTCCTAACCTAAGAAATCATTAAATATTTTTTCCCAAAACTTTGTAATAACTATTTTTACTGATACTCAGTATAGAAGAATTCACCAAAAAAAGAATGTGGTTGCAATTTCAGTGGTATTTGAATAATCAGTATCTCTCATGATGGCGCTGACTGATACAGTATTTCAACATGGCATCTAACGGAATCTGCCAAAATTCTTTAGTAATCAGTACAATGTGTATTATTGTAAATTCTCTAAACTATCTCTCAAATCGTTCCGATAATTTTGGACATAGATAATGAAATTCATGCGCATCAGTTCTTGAAACTATCTCTCAAATTGTACTGATAATTTTGGACACGGATAATGAAATTCATGCGCATCATTGAAATTTCTTGAAACCATCTCTTGAATCATTATGATAATTCAGGGCATACATAACCTATTGCTAATAAATTTAGTAGTTGCTGGGCCATATAAACGCTTTGTCGCGCACATATTCCAATCGTCTACCAGCCGAACTCTTCAACCTAGCCATTTAATTTTGAGCTGTTTTTCATATACATGGCAAGTCAAAACTAATGTTAGAGAAAGGAAACATACCTGTCACTACTACAATGAATTTATTTCACAAATGCAGATATAACATGAATGCATAACTCTTCCTATTTCTATGGACATGCAAAGATGCTCGATGTGAAGGCCTTTTGTAATGCGGCAGATGTCTGCACAGTAGTTTAGTTCCTAAGCACTTGCTAAATAGTGGAACGGATCCGCCATATTCTAACTGCGGGACCCATAAAGATGGTCAAATGACTTAATGTCTTGAGTTCTAAGTCTTGTCTTGAATTTCTAAGTAAAATAACTCAGAAGAAAGTTTAAAGTAAATTATCATCAGCCTAATGGTTACATAGTACAACTTTCCATTAGGTTACCTAACCCGTGAGGAGAAAATAAATCTCAAATGGAATTTGAAATGGAGTCTGTAGGCAGAGGACACTTTAGAAAATAAAAGATCAGACTTTTAAAAGTATACGGGAGCAAAATTGCACATTATTGCCAGAAACTTGTAGCGATCAAGCAGTGGATCATTGTGCAATTTTGTGTTTGGCTACTAAGCTTTCATGAAAGACGTGTCAAACATATATGATGATTGAAAATTAGGAAGACAAAAAATATCAAAAGATTAAAATAAGTGTAATGCATCAGGAACAGGGCAAATGGTACAGCTGCAGTACTAAAGGGTGAAAAATTTTAGATATGCCGGGCAGCAAAATGCCTCTAACCTAGTGCGAAGTAGAAAGAAAGAAGGTTATCAAACAAGAACTCAAAAAATACTAGTAAATATCACAAGCTAAAGAGATTTCAACAATATCAATATGCCAATTTTTACAGAAACTTTGGAGAAGAGAGACGTTTGTGTTCTGTTGATCCCTCATTGCTTGATGCAAAGTTATTGATGTGAAGATTTGATGATTAAGGTGAAAGATCTCTTACCTGGAATAACAATATTTGATCAAATGGGAATTGGACATTTTGACTAAAATTTAAATCATTGTCAAACTAGTAATTCTACCCAAGATTCCAAATATTTCAGCTTGCACAACCACCAGTGAAATAAATTAGGATCTCTGCCTAGGATTACCAAGGAATTATTACGAAGAATAGAGTTTCTTGTGGGGAAAGTATTCATTAAGCATATTATTGTGAATAGTTGTAAAGTATGTGAAGCTATTGCATAAAAATGCCTGACTTGTTTAGGGATAAAAAAATTAATTTTGAAGGAGTTCTTCAGAAAATTGAGATAAGTCACGGAATCAAGTAAGAGGCTGAAGGTTCACTCCACCAAAAATAAATTCCTCGTAAAATTTTTCTACGGATTAAAAGAGCTCTGTGTGGATTGCAAGGTGAAACAGGTTTCTTCAGGAGTTCCTCACGCCATGCAAGACTGAATAAAAGTAGTACCTTACAACAAATAGCAGATCTTAAGGTGGATCGCAACTGTTCTGAACAATGCAATCACACAGGAATGTAAGCAGATATTGAAGTAAAATTAACTGGAGAGAATATTAGGGATAGTAATTAAATAAAAATATTAGCATTGAGTTTTAGATTAACTTTGTATTAGTGACCATTACCTGTTCAAAAAGTAACCTAAACAGAATAGTAATTACCAAAAATGGAATTATTTTTAATTTTACTTATTTGCTGCATGACAAGCCAGCACTAGACAGTTTGAAATCTATCAAATTTTTACATACATAATATCAGAAATTAAATTAGCGATTAATAAAGAACCGGGGCACTGTATGATTTCTATTTCAACTTCCATTTGTATTAAAAATTTAAATTGTATTTATTCAAAATGAGTCGCATTTCAGATGGCAAAGGGTAGCAAGTAGTTCACGAGCCGCAGTTAAGGTGTTGGAGAGCCGCAGTTTGGCAATGTCTGGTGTAGAATAATGTTGGCCATCCTGACAATTCCCCATGGTAATGCAGAGTGAGAAAGGATTTTCAGTGTTGTGAAAATAAGGACTAAATTTACATTTAATTTTAGTAATGACACATTATAAAAACTTTTGTTAGCAAAAGCAAGCCTACATGGCAGTTACTATGAACAAAATTATGAAGTGTTTTTTTTTTAAACAAAAGAATTATTTGCCATTGCTCATATCATCTGTATGAAAACTCATTAAAGGATTATAATTTTATTAATGCAAATAATTAAAAATGTTTTTTTACATGCAAGTATTTTTATACTGTTTGCATTTAAGAATTAGTACCTGAACTTTCAGGTATTAATTAGCAACTCTTTGAAGCTAATTCATTATTAAAAAATATTTTTTATCACTTAAAATTCTTTTTGCCATTGAGAAAAATTTTATGATTTTTTAGTGTTATAGACTGGCAAGTATGCATGAAGCAAATTTCCATGAAAGAAAGCAAAAATATTGATTATTCATTGAACAAAATTTTTGAATTATAGAAAACTGTTGAAGGTTTTCCTTCCATTAATCGTATTTTCAGGAAAAAAAAATATTGAATGCAATGAGATAAAAAAATAAGCCATAATAAATAACGAGAACAATTGTAAAAGAATATAATTCACAAGTGATGAGTTAATTGTCTAATATGCCTCAAACTCTTTTAGGGAAACTGGGTTATTGATTGTTTTGCCATTAACTGTGCTCACATTAGTTTGATTGTGGAAGAAATAATTGATGAGGTAATAATCAAAAATGTATTGAATATGCAAACAGCAAAACATATAGATTTATTAAAAGGTTTTGTGTCAAATGAATGCTATGTTAAAATCATTTGACACGAGACTGGTGAAGCATTAAGTATACAATAAAATATGTGAAGTTTGCTAAAAAGACTAAAAAAAAATAATATTGGAGAAATAAAAAAAAATAAATCTTCACATTCAGCAGTGTGATTGAAAGAAAATGCAGGAATTGTGAAGCAAGTAGTCATTTGAAGTTTATTTGTAAAAATTGCATGCACTGGCAATATTGTTTACTTAAAAATTAAATTATGATTAAATTTATTTACTAATAAATTTTTCTCATAATCTCATTTCAAGTATGTTTATGGAATTGCAGAATTTTTCCATTCCTCAATACATTCAATAATGAAGAAAGAAATGTGGTCTTTTGCAATTTTAGTCCAATAATCTGGCATCGCTTTGCCCAGAATGCGTCAGGTTATTGAATTTTTGCTATTCTACGAAATCATAGCTCTTTCATGATATTGTGATTTCTGATGATATATGAGCGATACTACTTACATTCCACTGGGTATCCAGTTCATTAATAACAGAAATGTGTATGGTTCACAAATGTACATAAGCGTTGGTGTAACCACTCCAACATACGAGCAGTTATGTCTATTTCTGAAGTCCTGTCTGTTTTTGAACTGTGTATAATCAAAGCTATACTATTTAAAATTTGTTAAAATGGAGGGTAACTGTAATGGTATGTATCAAAAGATACTATTCTTCCATTTCATTATAACTGGGTATTTATTACAGATTTAAATCAAGTTGACTTTCCCACCTTATTGTAATTCTTTGAAAATATTTACTTCTAAGTATTAGTTTTATTATTTTATTTTTCTAAATTCATGGCATCAATTTGATATGCTTAATTACTGACCGACTGATTAAATTTCTATTGCAAATTAACTCTTATGAAGTGAACAAAAACAACATTTTCCCAACATTACATCTTTAGAACATTTTGTGGGAAAAAAGTGTTATACTGTAATTAATAATAATGTATAATAATGTTTGACTTTTTATACAGATGTTTCATACAGCTTCATTTTATGAAAATGTAACATTTATATCATTCTTTCATGAACAAAAATAAAGATTTCTTTTCCATATTAAAAAATGTTATCTGGTTAATGAATCCATTTTGTATTAAATTATTCTCTTTTTAGTATTCTTTCTTCTTAAGAAAATTTTAATTTGATGTATTTTAGTTGGTAACTAAAACTTTTTGCAACTATTTTTCATGTATTTAATTCATTTATAGTTGTTGATTTTTTACTGCATGATATTTAAGATTGAACAATTTTGCAACATTTAACAAATTTATTATTGATTTAACTTTTCAATTTCTATTGTAGACTGAATCTGGTGGCTGCAAAGTGCTTATTCAAGAATCTGTGTATGAAAAAGTCATTAATTTGCTTAGGAATTTTGTTCAAAAAATAAAACTTGGTATAAATTTTTCAAAAACAGATATGTCTGGTATTATCACAGAAGGGCAGAAAAACTCTCTGAACTTATTTATAAATGATGCTAAAAATCAGGGAGCTAAGGTATTCAGAAACTTTGTTTTTAATTTAACCATTTATTCCAGAGCATGACTTGTTTGATAGAAAGTATTATTTTCTATTTTCAGATTGTTCAAACATCTGAGACCTATGAAACAGGATATCCATCTTGGGCACCAATGTTGTTATCTGATATAACTACTGCTTCAAAATTTGTGCATGAAGAGGTATTTTCTTATCTCAATCACTGGTTGAAATTATTTGATCCTTTTGATGAAATGTGCATATTCTGGAGTATTAATGTGCAACTTGTTGCAGAGAAAGTCAGGTTTTATTCTAGATTTTGTCATTTTCTATGAAGGTTCTTCATGCTTTATTCTTAAGCAAGGCATTATAAATTTGTATGTATTAGAAAGATGATATCCTTCTTTAACTGATAGCTAGTTAGTTTTAAAATAGGCATCTCTTATAATATTTATTCATTCCTTAACCGACTTTCCAAAGGCCCGTCTGTTGAGTCAGCTTAAAGCTGTGAAAACAATAAATCGGTCTCATATTATATATTGTGCCATATAAAAAGTCTCTGCAATTTTTATTACATTTTTGAACAAAAATTTTCTCTATTGAAAATCCATTTTAATCAAATACATATTGACCATTGTTATCAATGACCTTTTGCCATTTTTCAAGTAGCTTCATAATTCCATTGGTGTAGAACTTCTGTGGTTTATCGTCGAAAAACTTGGCCAAGTGATTTTCAGCGGTGCTTTTTTCCGCTTATTTTTTACCATCAAGAGAATTTTGCAAAGACCGAAACAAATGGTAGTCAGATGGAATAAGGTCCGAGGTATATGGTGGATGCATCAAAACTTTTTAACCAAGTTCCGTCAATTTGTTTTGAGTTATCAAAGATGTGTGTGGCTACACATTGTTATGATGCAACACGACTCCCTTTCTGTTGGCCAATTCTGGTTGCTGTTTCTGGATTGCTTCTTTCAAATGGTCGAGTTGTGCACAGTACAGGGCCAAATTGATGGTTTCACCAGGTTGCAGTAGCTCATAATGGACAATTCCTTTCCAATTCCAACAAACACTCAACATACAACCTTGTTTGGCAGCAATGCAGGCTTTGAAGTCATTTGTGGAGGCTCACCAGCCTTTGGCAATGATCACTTGCATTTGATATTCTCGTATTTCACCCATTTTTTATTGCCAGTAATTATTTTCCTTAAAAATTTTTCAGTTTCATTGCATTTCAGAAGCACTTCACTGATGGTAATTCAACGAATCAACTTTCTTTGTGTTAATTCATGTGGCATCCAAACAGTAAGCTTCTTTGTGTAGCATGTTCTTTTTTAAAGGATTCGAAACTTTCATGTGATTGATGTTTAGTGCCTCTGCTATTTCCTGACATCTTGCATATGGTCTTGCTCCACAATCTGCAAAATCTCATCGACTTTTTCAGTGACTGGCTGAGTGAGGTGCATCTTTGACATTCAAATTTCTGGAACAGAATTAAGCATACCACTACTGGTCGTCTCTTTCACTCACAGCATTCTTACCATACAGTTCACAAATTTTTTGACATGTTTTTGCCTTTTGTATTGTAAAAAAGCATCACATAGCATATTTCTTCAGATATTTCACTCATTTTCGAATCAATATAAAGTTTTACGCGAGCAACAAATTAGAAAACTATCATCACAAAAAATGGAAGCTGAATGTTGCCTTTTAAGCACATGTTTATTTGAGACAATTGGGTGATTTTTGCCAAATATATAGGCATCAACACCATCTACTGGCAAAAAACAGTTGAAACTTTTTATATGACTCATCAAAATGTGTTATTCTACATTATCAATAGAGTATGGTAAGGAAAAACTTGCTTATAGCAAATTAATACACTTAATAATCAGTTTCCAATGATCGAGTGAAATGATATCTGCTTTAGGTGAATGATTAACCAGTTATTGCAATTTTTTATTATTCCAAATTTTTTTATTCTAAACCTTATAAGTAAATTTACGTTCAGTCATGATATATTGTTCAGATAAATGAGAGAGAGATTTGTTTGTATTGAAAAACAGTTTTGTAGGCATTTACATTTGGGATAGTAAATGGGATTTTTTGATAAAATGTTAAAACACAGCTCATTTTGATGTTAAGTTGGGAGGCTTAATAATTTTTTAAGTAAGTTTTGTTAAATGTTTTATATATTTTAATAAATGGTAAAATTTCATTCTTGAAATATTCAATAAAAACTGTAGTGAGCACATGGAGAACTGCAGTATCCCTGCTTTAAAATAAAAAATAAATATAAAAAAAAATAATAATGACTTCAAGTCTGTTGTCTACTTTGTGATCTAAAACTAGAACAGAGTTAACTCTGTTCTAGTTTTAGATCAGAAACTGCAGAAAATCTTGAGCTAGTTTCCATTCTCATTAAACATGTCAAGGAAGTTTATTTGATGCTGGTTTTGAAATAAAGTGTGACTTTAAAATCTGCAGAAATCTTTCTAAAGTGATCACCAGCAGATTGAATGGTCTAATTTAAAAAAAAAAATCGCATTATTCAGTTATCTCTACTTAATTTTTTGTAAGAAATTAATGCAAACATAATGCAGTCAAATGTTTGGAATTTAAATAAAAAGGAATTGATTTTTTTATTAAATTTGGTTATTGTATCCTTTGTAATAAATTATAATTCTTATCATTAATTTTTATTCAAATTTATGCTAACTAATGAATGAATTTTATAATAATTTTTGTAGGTTGTCATATTCACTTAAAGTGATTTTTCTTAGTGTGCATTTGTTAATGTTTTAATTGATTATGTCACATAAGGCTTTCTTGCAGTACTACAAATATTTGCCATATACCAGTCATAATTTTAAATATTGGGTTTTAACCAAAGTTTCCCACCAGTGCAAATATCATCTACTCAAACAGTTTGCTTTGTTTAATCATATTTTGTCAAACAATTTTTAGCATTTGAAAGAAAAAGAATTGCTGTAAAACACTGTGGTGTGCAATTTGTAAAAAAAAAAAAAATGCTATCATTAAGTACAAACTGCTTGAAATGGAAATTTCATGCTACAGTCAAAAGTCGTTAATCCGGACTCGTCGGGACTTCGGCGATTCCGGATTATCGATTTTTCCGGATTATAGATCATCTGTTTAAATCTCGTAAGAGGGCATGCAGAAATTCTAAAATTAAAAATATGAAACCGTAATTTATGAAATAAAGAACAATTATGATCTAAAGGGTATCAAAACTTACAAAAAAAAAAAGCTTAATATTTATTTGTTTACTTTATTAAACATTTCTGTCAATGTAAGTTGTTTAAGTTGCTTTGTTTTATGTGATAATACTTTCTCTTTAATTCTATAAACAGACATAATTTCTTGTTCAGTTACAAAGTTCCGCTGTTCAAGTCCCGTTAATTGCTGTGCCGAGAATACCGACTAACTTGTCAATCGAAATTTTTTCGTTTTCACTAACCTCTCTGTCACATTCTTCATGTCTTTATCCATTTTTGCAGCAATTCCACTTTTTGTTTGATGGACATCGAAACATACTTTCATTTTGTACGATCCTTTGGGAGCTCCAGATTCGGAAATTCTATTTGACATAATCGAAAGTTCAAGTTTACTTTTATAGTATTGCTCTTACAGTCTGCAAAAAAATAATAAGCCGGATCCAATTCGAAAATTAAGGAACAACGCAATCAACAACAATCATCAACATTAAATATATAATTAGATAATTTTAGCTTATACCGTTCGTAATACATAAAACGCTCACGCGAAAACGTATTCTGTGCTTGCACACACGCAAATGCGCAGTCGTAAGAGGTCTTACGGGCACGCGTAAACGCCTATGTGCATATGTCAACACGACGCATGCGCAGAAAGTTTTTAGCTTTGAGGTCCGGATTATGGGTGTCTGAATTAACGACTTTTGACTGTACTAGATTAGAACCATCATTTTCTTCCAGGTCTGTTGCAAAAAGTCAGCTACAGAATGTCACCAAATCATGTGTACAGCATTAGGTACCAAAATTGTATCATATGACACTGAAATTTTGGTACCAAAAGCTCAAAAATGAAAACTGTGACATTCAAGAACCAGAGCACTTTGGTTGGCCTACTGATGAAGCCCACCTGTGAGAATTTGTGGAAGAAGTTCAGTACACAATCACTCCAGAGTTTGCTTAGGAGTTAGTGGCATTTCTATTAGTCGCATTTTGCATCGCATAAACTTGACTTACAAGTTTCACTGGGTTCCGCATGAGCTGAATCAAGCAGATCAGAATAGACATGTTTGGGTCTGCACTAATCTGTTGAAATATCAATGCAAGGACAAAATTTTGGACCGATTCATCACTTGTAATCAAACGTAAGTTTACTTTAATAGCATAGGCCAAAAAGGGGATTCGTCTGCACGCAGTGAGCCCATCGGCAGCATCGCGGATCTCAATTTGCTTAACAAAAAGATCATGCTTTGTATCTAGTGCTATTATCCACAAAGAGTATCTGGAAAAAGGTAAAACCCTTGACAGTAAGTTGCTACTCTATGTTGATGCTCAACGATAATGTGATAGCTCAACATTTTTCCTTGATGCTGCTATCAAGGAAAAATGTTGAGCTGAGTTCCTGCACAAAAGGTAATGTTACATCAAAATAATGCGAGACCACATGTGTCTTCATTCACCTGCTGGATTCTGTATGTACTTGAATGGGATCTTACCATGCCCTCCATACAGCCCCGAAATCGCTCCTTCGGACTTCTGCCTTTTTCACACCTGCAGTTACATCTTGCTGGTGCTATCTTCCCTTCTGCACAGGACATCTGAAATGCGGTTGATCTGTTTTTGGACTCGCAACCCACCAAGTTTCTAGGCCGATGGCTTCGAAAAACTACCAAAACAGTCGCAAAAAACATAGATTTGGGTGGTGAATACTACCTGCACTAAAGGTACTACTTTTGTGTCCCCCCCTCCGAATTTTATTAAAAACGTGTTTTGACAGAAAATGTACATTGTAACCAGATAGTATTTTACAGTGCTATATATTTGTTAAGAAAATGTCCAAATATTCATGCTGTGTGTGTAAGTAGGTGTAGCTAATGTGTTGTTTAAAAAGTGAAGAACAAAGCAGTTAGGGGATAAAATTAACATATCATTGCAGTCACTGTCTGTAGTTAGTGGTGATGTTCTAAGTTTAATGTGTGTGCTAAAGTTAATCTTATGGAACTAAATTAATAAATTACTTCTGTATAGCTTCAGTTTTATACAGAAGCTATACGTATAGTATTATTTCTGTATAACTTTCATTCTCTATATGAGGTGTTAATGTCAATTTTTATAGTTTCAATCTTTTAAATAATAAATTGATTCTATTATTAATTTTGAAAAATTTCTGGTTTTTGATGGGTAGTTATTCAGTAAATTAGTTTAAGCTTTTGTGGACATAGTTAAAGACATAGTTTTGTGGACTTTAGTTAAGCTTTCTAAGAGTTTAAGCTTTCTTAGTCTAGAGAAATGTTTTAAATTTCACTTTCATTATGGGCATTGTATATCACTTTGATTATGGTCATTGTATATATTGGTACAAAGGATTAAAATAGTGCTAATTAGTTTAACTAAGAAATTAAAACTTTAAGAAACAATAATAATGATAGAGATACTGAATTTTTCTTTGGATGGTGTGTGGAAAAAGATGGTGCAAGAAAAAGTGGATTGCACTTTGAATAGTGCAAGAAAATGAAATTTAGTATAATCAATTAAAACTTCATACAAACGAAAATTTATATATATATATGACTTATTGCTATTCTGTGTGATTGACTGTATTAGTATTTGTGATAAATTACTTAATTTATGTTAAATTACTTAATTTATGATTTGTTATATTAAGAAATAATTGTCTTTTTTTTTTCTTTTTTTTTTTTTTTTTTTTTTTTTTTTTTAATTCCCTCCTAGATTGGTGGTCCTGTTATAGTAACTGTGTCATTTCGAACTGCAAAAGAATCAATAACCATGTTTAATCGCAATAATTTAGGTGCTGATGTTAGTGTATGGACTGATAAACTTTCCCTTGCCCTTGAAGTTGCTCAAGAACTAAAATCGGGTACTATCTGGATAAACACCCAGAATATATTCATTCCTGTTGCTGGATACAGTAGTGTGTATATGAAAGGATATTCAGTAGAAGGAGGTCAATATGTAAGTTCATTATTAATTCTTTTGATTTGTGAATATATATGAGAATATAAGCAAATATCCACTTGTAAATTATACTTTAGCTCCTTAACGTAAGGCAGTACTTATCTCTTATTAAAATGTTTCACAGGAAATGAAATTTCTGGATTTATTATAATATTATAGCATAATATGCGGATTCTAATGATTAAAACTGATCTCTATGGTTATGAATGTTCTAGTATTTAAATCTCAATTTTGCATTTTTAACTTTTAAAACCTCCTTTTCTCAGGATTAAGAATTAGGATTATCTTTTTGGTTACTAGTTTTGCAAAAGGAGTAAAATTAATTGTAAGAACTTAGTAGCAGCATTAAAGAAATTTATGTTGATGTTTGTTTTATTCTCAGTTTTATTTAATATTGTAATCAAAATTAATTGTATTAATATTACAGACAGATAAATGAGTATTTCATTATGACAAAGTACTTATGAAGCCTTCATGAGACATTCTAAAGTAAACTGGCTCACATTTATGTTATACTTTTTGGAGAAAACCATAAAAAACATCCTTGCAGCCAACCCATTCACCCGAGTTCTAACCTGATCAAATTACTAATATTAGTGGTACACAGCCACTGTGGCCCACCAGCGGCCAAGTGGTAAAGTCGCTGAACAGTGGTAGTTCGGTCTGAGGTTCGAACGGGCTGGCTGTATGGGGTCCCGCGAACAGGCTGGCTGCATGGGCATTTTCGTGGTTTCCCCATGTGTAACGTGTATACGAGCCAGTTTCCCACAGAAAGTCCTCCACGAAGGCATCCCTTCTCTTAGGCAGATAGCAGTAGTGTGCTTTGCTGTAATTAACTAAACCAAACCAAACACAGCAACTGTGGGGCATTTTTTGAAGAGGAAATTGTTTTATATTGGTAACGCACAAAAAAGCAATGAAATGTTTAATGCAGAAAAACATGTAGAAACTAGAACTAAATATTTTTGTCCATTTGTCTGCTGGTGGCAGATTATTATGTTTTATTATTTTTTATAATTAAAGATTAATAAGATAATTAGGTTTTTAGTATTATTTTTTTTAATTACGCATGTTTTTATAAAAGTTACAATAAATGTGTTATTTTGTGTTAAATTTTGGCAGTGATCAAGTATCTAATTTTCAGTATGTTAAAATAATTGAAAGAAGTATGAACTTGCACAGATACTAAGAAAAATTACATAAGGTAGTATAAATTATAATTTTAGATAATTAGTATATTAGTAAGGCACTTTTGCACATTTTTGTTGATTGTTATAGAAGGAAAAGAATAATGACTTACAATTGAAGAAAATTACTGCATACATATTTTACAGTTTAATTTGAAAAAAATCAATCAATAAGTGAGTCCTCTTTCTTTGTTTGATCTGACAAAAAAATATCAGTATTTGAAAATTAAGGCAGAATTATCACAATATAACAAAAAGCATTACAGCTTGGAATACAACAGAAAGAACACAGATGAATTGCTTTTTAAACCTGAAACAATGCTATAGGCATGGTTCCCAAAGCTGGACGCATTGTGAAAATTTGGCAACTTCTATTAAAGTGATTGCGCTAATATATAAATTTCTTCTTTTATTATGTTTATAAACATTCTGCATTAATAATATAAATACTGGCATTTAATTATGCAATAATTTAATAATGGTATTTATGGTAATAATTAGTTATCTTTCAACTAGTATAACATAATAAACATGCAAATTCTCATATTTCTATTCTCTTTTTACTTTAATACAGCAATAAATTAGATTTATTTCAGAAATAGTAAATAAATTAATGTTATATCTTTTTTTTTTTTTTTTTTTATAATTTTACCACTTATTTATTTTTGGGGGATGAAGTGAAAATGCAGTTTATTGTGTAGTAGTTTTAGTTTTCTGATTTACATTTTTACATGATTTCTGATTACCTGCATCACCACTGAAAAGTCGTGAATGCATTGGGTGACATCAGACAGCATTTGTAAGTACATTAGAGGCTAATTTTTCATTAAACTAATGTGCAGAAAGCAACACCCATCTTCAAAATGGTGGCACACTAAGAAAACTGTGTGGAGGCAATTAATCAGTGAAATAGGAAAAGGAAGAAACATTGAATACTTACCCTTTTTTTTTTTTTTTTTTTTTTTTTTGAAAAATCCTTCTTTTTTTCACTGATATTCTTCCCATGCATACAACAATCAGTTTTCTTTTTGAAAAAAATCACAGAATTCGAAAAGCTTGGCATTATGCAGCTTCAGCATTGTGCATTAAAACAGATGAGCTGTGTGGATTTCTGTGGTGCTGCATAAATACTTTTGTGTGATCATTTTTGGTGGAGGTGCGGGTAATTAGAGAGTACCATTTTTATAATGTAAATATCTGGTTGTAATGAAAGTTTTCTGCCAAAAAACTTTAATAAAATTAGGAAGAAGAAAATGGAAGCAGTATCTTTAGTGCAGGTAGTAATCACCACCTAAATATATGATTTTCTGCCATCATTTTGGTAATTTTTCAAAGCCTTAGGCCCCGAACGTTGGTGGCCGTGAATCCCAAAACAGATCAATCTCATCAGACATCATATGTAGGATGGAAGATAGCACTAGCAAGATGTAGCTGTAGATGTGAAATAGAGGTAGAAGTCCAAAGGAGTGATATCGGGGCATATGGTGGGTGTGGCAAAAGATCCCATTCGAGTTGGTACAGAGTTCAGCTGGTGAATGCAGACACATGTGGTCTTGCATTATCTTGATGGAAATTATTTTTCGTCTGGAACTCAGTTCGACATTTTTCCTTGATAGCAACATGTCAACATGAACAACCTCATCATCTTGCTATACACCTTACTGATGAGGGTTTTACCTTTTCCCAGATATGCTTTGTGGATAATACTATGGCAATCCCACCAGATACAAAGCATGATCTTTTTGTTAGTCAAATTGCGTTTTGCGATGCTGTCGAAGGGCTAATCTGGTGCAGACCAATCCTCTTTCATCCTGTGTTGCTGAAGTAAATTCACTTTTTATCACAAGTGACAATCCAGTCCAGAATTTTGTCCTTGCATTGATATTCGAGTAGATTAGTGCATGCCTGAACATGTCTTTTTCTATCTGCTTGAATCATCTGATGCGGAAGCCAGCAATTGAACTTATATGTCAAGTTTATGCAACACATATTGTGATTAATGGACATGGCATTAACATCTAACACCTTAGCAAACTCTCGAGTGGTTGCACGCTGATCTTCTTTCACAGGTTCTTGTAGATTGGTGTTATCAAACATTAGTAGGGTGGCCAGAGCACTCAGCTTCTTGAATGTCATAGTCCATGTTTTTGAACTTCTGGTACTAAACCTTCACTGGGTCATATGATGCAACATTAGTATCTAAATCTGTGTATATGATTTTGTGACATTCTGTAGCTATCTTTTTGCAACAGATCTGGAAGTAAATGATGATTCTAATCTGGTAGCATGATAGTTCCATTTCAGGAACCTTGTACTTAATGATAATATGATGTTTTTACTAATTTCACAACACAGTGTTCTGAAGCAAGTCTCTTGCTTTCAATTGCTAAAAATCATTTGACAAAATATGATTAAATGCACCAACACGAACTCTTTGCACAGGCAATATTTGCGGTGGTGGGAAACTTTCGTTAGAACCTGATAATTCATATTTGTAATAATAGTGTACTCTTTTCAGCTTTCCTCAATGAACGGGATGGGAGTTAAAAATTATAGATATCTAGTTATAGTATTAGCCAAAATTGTTATTTAAAGTAAAAGGAGATTAAAATATTTCAGAATAAAAAGATTGTTATAACAGTGATTTTGAGTAGATTGTTATGAATTGTATTTTTTCCATCCAAAATTCTTTTAGGCACTTCTTATGCATTTAGCCAATGTAATGGATGAGGATGCCACTATTACTAAATCGTGTGAAGAAGATACTAAATCAACGGAAGAGTGTTCTGAATTAATTAATGAAAAATGTATTGAACTATCTAATGAAAATGCAAAAAATCAACTAAATTCTGTGTAAGTATGTTTCGAATGTATGATATAAAACTTCCACTCTATGGAATTCTATTACAATCATCAGTAGCCTTTCTTAGCTGCAGGTCAAAATCAACCACAGTGTGTGTATTAACAAGATGCTTTGGGTTGGTGGTATTTTCATTTCAGAACAATATTGCTTCCCAACCAGTATAGTATTTAGCGATGTTGAATGCCTTACCAAAGGGCTTGGGTTCAAATCCCGAAGAAGGTTTAAATGTTCATAAATGAAATGGGTATCTGTGTGGCATGGGGGTACTTTAAATATGTGGCAAGCAGAAAGTCCTCTCAAGAGGTTGGTGGTAGGCGAAGAGGGGTGGGAGACTCTTGGACTCATTCCTCGGGGTGTGCTCCATCAAAATTGGAGCCGGAACTCAGCAAAGTTGTACTGTCATCTGTATGGGACGCAATCTTCCACTCCTTGCCACAGTGAATTTCTTGGGCTTGTTCTTATGTTACTGTTTGAAAGGTGAGATAAGTCACATCAGCAACAGAACAGTCTTTCTTGATGAGTAATGAGATAAATTTGAGAAAATAATTACAATATGTTTTAAACTTTAAATATAAAAATTATAATTATATTATAAAAATAAGCCTAAATGAATGAACTTTATTTTTCTGTTCAATTTCAATGGATTTCATATGCTGAACTTATTTATCAGTTTAATCAAGTCCACCTTATAATTAGTCATCTTAAGATGAACACAAACAGCTGAATTTTTGCTAGTTAAGCTGCTGTTGATCTTACTTAAAATAAATTTCATGTGTGAAATTATTTGCTCACATTTATAAGTTGAACTAAATGCAAACGAAATGGCAAAGCCATTTTTTGGAATTGTGAATTATGGACTGTCAAACTTATCAGTTTCTCCTTGAAGTTATATTACATTTTTTTTTTCAAAAATGAAAGTGCATATTCATTATTGCAACTTTGTAATCATGCCAAAATGTTGTTATTTATTTTCACTTTATTAGGTATTTTTCAAGAGTCCATTCCATATTTATATTTTACAATTTATATATTATACATAATTTTTAAAACTCAAGGAGTTGCTTAAAGCTATGAAATGGGTCACCTTGGTCACCTGTGGGTTATAGGTTGCAAAGGCCTGTTCTATGCTGTATTATTTTTTATAGGTTTATTATTCTTAACTTTGAGTGAATGTGGCTTAATTTTTTCCTCCTCTTTGCCACTTTAAATTCAGTTTTCATGATATTTGTTATTAAATTTAGTATTAACTGCATCAGTCTTGGGACATTTTAGTACATTTGGTAGTAACTGCTCTTTTCATATTATCAACTAAAATTTGATGCTTTTTATTTGCTTAACTAAAATTAGATGCTTTTTATTTAATTGTAATGCAATTATGAATTGCTTCATAATGATTTGATCTCCTTTCTAATTAAAATAACTTAGGTATCAACAGTCATCTCGTAGTTTCTTTTAGTTAATTTTAATAATTGTTTTTGAGGAATCAAAAGTAGGATTTTTTTAATATTTTTTCCTCTTTTCTTTTTTCAGAACTGGAATTCGATCTTATGATCATTTTATAGGTGGAAGTTATAAACGATCGTCTACATCGACTCTAATCTGTGACAAAAACAATCTACCATATGCTTATATTGCAGGTGGGAGTAGTGCAGAAATACAAGCTGCTGTTTCAAGTGCTCTTGCTGTGTTGCCAAAGTATGATATGTAATATTTTTTAGGTAATATGAAAATTATGAATATAATTAATATGAAGTCACAGGACAGCTGTATTTTAAATCAGGCTTTTATTTTATTTTACATTTTTCTTTCTTTTTTTCAATTCCTTTTTTATATACTTTTAAGCAAGCATTTGTTAATTCATCGTTCTATATAATTTGATTTAAATGATGAGATCAAGACCAAAATCAGTAGTTCTTGTTGGCTTAATCGAAACCATTTTAAGAAAATAAGAGTAACAGAATCTTCTTTGGAATGGGTGAAATTCCATTTTATTTTATTTTAGCTATATTATTATGCACAATAGCAAAGTGCAACAATAAAAAAAATACTTTGTGCTTTCTTCTAGTCTGTTGATGCAGGTGTAATCCCCCCCCCTGGTTGCATAAATGTTATTATTGTATTGCCTAAGCTAAAACTACAGAGAGTATTTACACATTTTTTGGATTTCTATAAAAATTTTTAAAAAGCAAGTATTTTAGAATAAAAAAATTCTCACAACTTATTTGAAATGAGAAATATAGTCTACTGCTTTTAAATTTATTCTTCTTTTAAAATATTGCCTGTAAACAAGCTGTGGGTGAAAGGCTATGTTTTTGTGCTTTCCGAAGAGAAATAACAAGTCAAAAACCTTGTGAAATGTACAGTATTAAAATTTTAAGTGCAAAATAAGAAATATTATGAATCAGAAAAGGAAAAAGTGTCAATCATTACTTCTGCATTGCAAGAAGACTCAATGAATACCCCCAAAAAGTACATGATGTTAATGTTTCTAAAGTTAAATCACTAGTAACAAAAATAAATCCAATGATGTAGATATCACTTGCAAAATCTTTAAATATATCTGTACTAACAATTAATAAAATAATAAATCAAGATTTCCAACTTAAAAAGCTAAAGGAAGCACAAAGTTCACCAGCTTTTGCCAAAGATGAAAAATTAGCAACCGCCTTCGCCGGGAATCGAACCATAGACTTCTGGAATACTGGCCCAGCGTGCAGAACCACTATACCATGAAGGCATGCTAGGAAAGCGGGAGAAATACCTCATAAGCTTTAGGCTCACTCAGAGACTCTTCTGCTGGAGGCACTGACGGTAGAGCCGGGGTGCTTCGCCTTGGAGAGAAACATGGTGATGGGTAGTTGTTTTCTTTGTTTTTCCTTTTCCTTCAAAATTCTCTTGTGCAAGGACATAACCCCGTCAACGCAATTGCCGAACTCGACAGCTCGAACCATATTGTCGTCAATGTCTTGTGCAAATTGTTGCATTGCTCTTGCCAAGTTGCATAATTGTTGCAGATTCTCCAAGGTAAGGCCACTCTTTTCAGGTTTTTCTTCGTCTTCCTCTTCGCTTTCTTCCTCACTTGCCGCCGTTTTTATATCAAGGAGGTCTTCATTGGTCAGTGGGTCTGAGTGGCAATCGATGTCTTCTTTTTTCATGTTGACAAATCCTTCATTCCTTTGATGTGAGCCTGCCTAACCACCTTCTCCACCACTGAGTGATGAACTTCTTCAGGAGTGAAGCCTGGATAGTCGTGCACCACGTTTGGCCATAATTTCTTCCAACTAGAATTTATGATCTCACTCTTCATGTCCTTTAATGCTCGCTGAATATTAGACAAACATGAGGCAATGTCATAACTGTGCCAGTATGCTTTCAAGGTGAATTCATCATTGGCATCGTCAATTGCCGAGATGAGGCCCTCCGTAGAGCGAGTGTAGAGTGCCTTAAAGGCACGAATGACACCTTGATCCATCGGCTGAATTAGAGATGTAGTTTTCGGGGTTTAGAAACTCTATCTGCATACCATCATATTGCAGGTCTGTTGCATGGCCTCCTGCACAGTCCATCAGGAGAAGGACCTTAAAGGGGGAGGCCCTTTTCAGCCAGATACAGCTTCACCTAGGGAATGAAGCAATGGAGGAACCATTCAAGGGTCAGAGCTTTTGTTATCCAGGCTTTGGAGTTATGGGTCCAGAACATGCGCAACAAAGCTGTATTTTTTATTTTTTAATGCCCGTGGATTTTTGGCTTTATAAATAAGGCCTGGCTTAAGCATAAAACCTGCAGCATTGCCAACCATAATGACAGTCACACGGTTTTTGTGAGCTTTGATGCCTAGCTTCTTCACTTTGTCCTTGAAGAGGATTGTACACGAAGGCATCCTCTTCCAAAAAAAGCATGTTTCATACATGTTGAAAAACTTGTTTAGGGAGGTAGCCTCCCTTACTGATGAGGTTGGGAAACTGTTCCTCCACGTAACAAAAAGCAACATCGTTGTCAGCAGAGGAAGCCTCACCATACAGAAGCACGTTTCTGAGGCCATATCTTCTTTGAAATTTTTCGAACCAGCCTTTGCTGGCTGAAAAGCCTCATCTTCGAGGAGGCGAATCACTCCTGGCAGTGCTATTACTGGCTTGAGGTTCATCAGCACCTTCTTCATTGTCGTCATTGGGCAAGATTTGGTCGTAGAGAGCTTTCGCCTTTGTCCTTATCATATTAGTGTCCAAACTCACAATCTTTTTCCTGCAATTAGCAATCCACAATGTCATTGCAGCTTCCATTTTCCCAATTCTGTTATTACATGAAGGTACCACACATTTCGCTTCTTTATTGAAGGTTATGAAGCAGTTTTGCGGATGTTTGCTTCCTCATTCTTGATGGCAGCGCACTGTATATACCATCACCCCATAATAGCATGCCACAGATGCATAACTTGTGCCCTCTTTGATCATATCTAAAAGTTTCAATTTTTCGCCGATTGTCATTATCTGGTTTCTCTTGGGCGCCCCAGAGGAAGCTTTCGCAGGGGCACAGCGCTTAGGCGGCATTATAAGTGCTTAATTAATAAAAAAAAGTTATCGCTTAAACCCCAAAAAAAGTTATCGCCAACACAACACTAAAATACAGTATGCGAGACAGTCAACATCATGGACAAGACTGGCGAGATACAACAAGAGAATATGCTAGGTGAGGCTGTAATGATGCGCAGACAATCAAATCACAGAGATAAATGCACTCGTATTCTCATTATTCGATCTTGCACTGGAAACCAATCACCTGCCTTTATGAGAGCCCATGATAAATACTCTGAATTAACTCATCTCTTTATTCGGTTGTATTTTTTCATTTTTATTTTTTGATGAATATTTTGGAAAAAACCTGCGAAGCACTGAAGCTGCAAAACATGAAACACGAAGTGGCGAAGGAACACTGTATAGCCTATGTTGTGCTTTCAAGACATGGGAAACACAAGTTAAATTTTGACAATTGGTCCAGTAGAACAGGAGATATAGAATATCAGAAGAACTGTCCTCTCTTTTTTTTTTTTTTTTTTTTTACCTTCTTCCTGTGTGTGTGCAAGGTGTACATTTAATTTCTGTTTAGTGACCTGGCTGTACTTTAAAATAGCGTCTTGTTCAGTAATAGCACACTGTTATTGTTATTTTCATGGAAACTGCATTTTAATGGTAACTATATTCATTTTGTTACTAGGAATAAATTCTGTTTCAAGGAAAATTAATTACAGTGCATCAGTATGAAAATGTATTTCATTAATATTTTCAACTATCATCTTCTGTGAATTAATTTATTGCATTGTATAATATATGATGCTTTATAAATAGATAGATAACTAAATAACATGACTGGAATTTGATGTGAAGATAGATTACTAATCTGATAACGAGGAACTTTTTTTTTTTCTGGTTATCTGATTTCAGTCTAAAAAATATAGCTAATCCTACTGTAGGTTTTTGAAATTCATTGGCTCTTAGAATATTTTCTATTGCTTGGACTATCTTATTGATGACTGGTTGTTGATATTTTACTACTTTTAAGGGCTTTTTGCTTCTCAATGTGCACTGCTTATGAAAATTTTTGCTGTCTTTTTTTTTCCCCCCATTTCACGTATGGGTATTCTTTTTAACTACTATAAATAAATGTATTTATTTATTTAAAGAACATTATAAAACTTCATATTTATTTCATCCAGACTTGTTCATTATGGGAAAATTTTTCATGTTTTTGTCTGTGTTTTACTCTAACAAATTCTTATTAATCCTCTTACAGAACTGAAAACATTTTAAAGTTCTGTTTACAGGTCATTGTTTTTTTATGTATTATGTCTTACAATTTAATTTTATTATGACCAAGTACTCATTTTTTGAATTAAAATGTAGTAAAAGTATGATATAAATTAGATTTTGTTAATAGGTGGAAGAAAACTGCCAGACACAGGTGTTCTCAAATTTTGGTTACCTTAGCAGAAAACCTGTGTGAACGGAAAAAGGAATTTGCATCGTATCTAGAAGCTGTCTTACCTCGTTCTTATCAAACTTGCCTGAATGAAGTTGAAGCATCTATAGATTGCTTATTTTTCTGGGCATTTGAAGTAGCTAAAGATTTTGGCAAAGTAAAAGTATGTTGTTTAATATGAATTGTAATGACTTGGTTAAATACTTGAATACTGTTATATAGTTTTTCATCTTTGCATCAATATTGAGTAATTAATATTTTCTGTTTCATTAATTCTAAATGGTGGTTATAAACATAAAATTTAAAACAGAAAAGCTGTGAGAGGAAAAATAATATCTTCCATATACACTTTTCATTTCATGTTTCTATAAAATATATATATATTCTTAAAAATAGTTCCATTATTTTAAATCGTAAATCCATGTATTTAATACATAACTCTTTCTTTAATTGGAAACAATACTCAAGAATAAACTTAATTAAAATTAGTCTTCTTATTTATAAATCCTGAACTAGGTGTCTTAATGATTCTGCAGTGTTAATGTAATATGCAGTTTGCTGTTTTTGCAATCCATCGAACTGTAAACCACCAAAAGAATTCTGTGAATTTTGCAGATGATGCTAATTCGCAAACCACTGAATGATGATTGTGAACCTAAGATTTTACACAACATTAAACCACACTGAAAATGCTTCCATGTTATCTTGCAGAAGCTTGGTGGAGATTTTGCTCTTCAGCTTTTGTTTTGTAACACTGGAAGCAATTTAAATTTAATAGAATTAAAATATTTATTATTATTATTTAATTACAGAATAATTAAAAAATTTAATAAATTAATAGAACCATTTTTCAAATATGCATTTTTAATTATTTATTTTCATATTTAAAAATAGCATTTCAATAGTGCTATCTAAGAAATTAATATTTAATTAAAAGTTGTATATTGCATGCTACATCTGTACCAGTTTTACTTTGATGTTTTTCAAATTTTTAATCTTCTTTGTTTTAAAATATCAACTAATATACTTATTTAGCTTGATTTGGTGCCTCTTCATACCTCTATTCTAGTCATGTTTGCTATTTTTTGCCTCATCTTCCTTCTTCTGAAAAGCTGCAAGGGTAGTTGGCTGTGCATATGTGTTCAGTAGTGTTACACTGTTTTTCGTGAGAGATGAACTCAGTGCCTTAATTTTTTTTAATTTTAATTATTAGAGTTGTAGGAAATTCATTCTTCAGAATTGTAAGAAATTGTAACGGGTATTTTTTTTATCTTAGTCATCAGAAATCTGAAAGACATCTTTTGCCTTAAATACACGGTGTTATTGGATGGCAACTGTAGAATAATAGTAAAATAGCAATTTTTCCACATCTCCCAGTAGATTAAGATATCTCCTAGTTTTTGATTTTTAGCTTTGCTAAAGAAAATTACTAAAGAAAATGTTTCCCTGCAATAAATTAAGTTTACTGAATTGATGAAATTTTAACTGTGCAAATTGTATTCCCCACACCTAGTGATTTTTAGCATAATTTTTCGTATTAAATTTTATTTGATTTGAATTGTATTAATTTATGTTAGATATTTGTAGAACTTTTTATGAAGTTCAACTAACATTTCATTAGTTAATTGTATTTAATTTTGTTTTGCATCAATAAATGAATGATACATTACTAAATTTATTTAAACTGTAATGTATATGTTAGCTGTTAATTGTATTTCATCATATTATAAGTACATAGGTAAGTAAAAATTCGTCTTCTCAGGATTAATTACGAAAAAATTACGAAAATTACGAAATGAAATTAGCAAAAGAATATAGAAGTGAGAATTAAATATTATTGTAATTTACATTAGCATGACATAATAAATGGTTTGACAATCTGAATTATAAGAAGCATAATAATCTAGTTAATTTACGCAAGCTTTAATTTCTAGAAGTGATGTCACTCATAGTATGAGAATCTCCCATATATTTCTAGTGTAGAGGTAAACCTCAATTTCTGTATTTTAAGTTTACTACAGCATATATATGTATAGTGCAAAATAAATTGAAATTACATTTAAAACAAAAAACCAAAAACATAATGGCAAACTATATGATAGATGCAAAAAATGCTAAAACCAAAAATGAAAAGGAAAAACAAAATTTACATCTTTTGCTGCATCATCATCAGAGGGTTGGCACAATGAAAGAAGTAAATACATCAGCTTGTTTTTTGAACCAACAAAGACTAAAGTATAATACCATATTTCATGGCCTATAAGATGTGCTATGATTTATCAGGTTAGAATTTATGAAAAATACTTGGATCAGACACAAAAAGATCAAAATATGTATACAATAAAAATGGAACTATTGCATTAAAAAATTAGTAAATATATCAGTGTTTGTTCATTATAGAATCCCCAAAATGCATCATCACTGCTGTTTAAATCATCCACACAGTTATTTTCATTGTGGTTGTCACTGTTACTAGATTTGTCACTTTATTCATACACAGTACCATCTTCACTTCCATCTAGTGCACTGCTAATTCCACACTTCTTAAGACAAAAATGATAGTCTCACTTTTAACTTTCTGCCGAGACTTTTTCACTCACTCTCAAATGCTAAAAATTGGCAGCCGTTTCATTCTTCCTGTCAGTGTGACATCATGAGTTGGCAACTCATTTTACATATCCACTCTTTGTGCATAAATCCTTGAATAGTTTATTTACTGAAATGCCCAGAAGCTTCAACAGAGCAGTCTACCAGGAATCACAGCAAGATGCACCTCCAGGTGAGTAACAAAGATTTTTGCTGAATCCATCATCTGGGTCTTAAATTGATTACAAACTAATAAAAACAGTTTCTTTAGAACCCACCTAGATGCCTGTACCACAACTCCTATAACCATAGCTTCGTACTCCTTCCATCATCCATTCTATGCGATGAATATACATACGAGTATATAAATTCCATGTGGGAATTGTATATTTGGGCTGTGTTTTTCATTTAAAGATTAACAAAGAAAGGAGTTTTAAATAATCCGCACAACACGGGGGGGGGGCAGTATAACACATCTTCTTGTCACCAAAAGTCGTTATCATTACTGCCATTAATCATCTTTAATGTCCACTGTTCTAGGATACCTTATCCATGTTTCCTATTTGTCCTATCTCAAAGCACAATTTTTTTCCTTAAAGTTTATGACATATTTGTGGAATTTTTTTTTTCTATATTCAAGTGGCAGTTTTTGTGCTATTGTAATTCACACATGCATAGGTCATTTTTCTTCTTGAATCTCTAGCACCATGACATTATCCTTGAAAATCGGCAATAGACGCTAATTTTCTTCCGTCAGTAAAAGTTGGCTATTGCTAATTTTCTCGCTGCAGTAAAAATTATTTTTGTTGAAACAGTAATTTTGTTCTTCCTATGATTTATTATACAGTTCTTAACATGTCCCTCAAGCTTTGGCCAGCTAGGAGCATATAAAGTTCTTTTACTCCTATATGCGTTCACCAAATCCATCTTCTGCTTCTCCCATTCTCATACTATCTTCTCAATCAGAGGTAGGTCAGAATGCCTTTTAGCTGCTCTGATTCCAAGCTTTTAAGTGTAAATCATGATTTCAAGTTTAAATGCAATACTGTACGACAGTCTCCTCTCTTTATATCCCATGAAGATACTCTAGCATTTTATGCAACATATAGTTTCTCCATGTAAAAGCAGATATGAACACTAATTAGAAAGGAACATATTATGCATTAAACAAGACTCTCATACTATTTAAGTTTGAGTGACTGATTTTATCGCAAGAGATATTCTGATTCTAATGAGCCAGTCACTGAGACATTTTCATTTTGAGCTAGTATGTAGAAATTCACTAACTAGAAGAGCCTTTTTATTTTGAAGCACCAAATGCAATTTAAACAAGTAAATGTGAGTTGTGTAGATATGGCAGCTCCCATGAATTATTGCTTGCAGTTATAAAGGGTAGTGATAAAGAAAGAATATTATCATATTCAAATGCAAGTTAGATTTAAGTAAGTGACAGTGCAAAAAGGTTAAAAAAGTGAGATGGCTTTGAAAGTGAAATTGTTTCTGTATTGCTCACATGATTAGTTGCTATGCAATATGCCGTTATTAGTGCAGCGTGATTTTGAGTGAGTAGTAGTGCTATTTATTTTTATTAATTTACATTTAATGTGCACATTACTAAACCAGACCTTTATCCATTTTATAAAAATGATGAATCTGAAAGCAGCTCTGCATTGCCCCTAAATAAGTGCTAAGAAAGTTATTTCTAAGCACTTTTCTTTGTCATGACATACAGTTTAACATGTGAGATGAAACTAAACTACATTACACTATATAATATGCAAACATATACAATATATTTGGGATTTTTTTTTTAAGAATTGTGAAGAAAATATTAAAACTCTGTTTCTTTCTGTTGGCTCAAACCAGTGTTATTACCAACATTTATAATAAAGGCAATCATTTTCTATGCCTGAAAAAATATTTAATACTATTTTTCCCGGAGAATCAAATTGGATCATAGAGGATGAAGTTATACCCTCGGCTTATAAAATGCAGGCTGAATTTAGGGCACATTTTGGAGTAATAAAAATGTGTCTTATGAGCTGGGAAATACAGTACTTAAAATAAAAGTAATCTCAAAAAACTAGTTAAAATAATATGTGTCTTTATCAGTTCAACAGGCATCTTAAGTAAGTAGTGAAAAAAAAAAAAGGCTAAATTATAGCATCAAAAATCTTTAAAAAAAATTTTTGTAATGTATATTTTTAACACACCAAGTCTAAAAAATGAACCATGCAAATACAAGCAATCCAACACATGAAAGAAAACAATATATGGAAATTTGAATCCACACTGGTTGGAATATTTTTTTTTTTTTCTTTTTTAAATTTATAGCATCAAAAGCATAAACAAGCAAAAATGCTTAAACATGTAATAAAAATTATTTTCTATTTAAATGCGCCAAATCCAAAACAAACAGACAAAAACAAAAACAAAAAACAAAAACAAAAACCAAAAAAAAAAAAGAGAGAGAGAGAGAGAGAGAACGTAAACAGAAGCAATCCAACATATGGAAAAATAATAACAAATGAAAATCTGATCCAAAAAACATAAAATGAAAAGAAGAGTTAGGTCTTAAAATCTGTAACATTAGAGCAGCAAAAGTGGAAATGAAAAAACATTTATTCAACATGCCCAGTACCAAATGAATGTTGTTAAGCCTAACATGTGCCAAGTGTTGAAATAATATTAACTACAAATTTTGAACACGTTAATAACAAAAATAATTCAAAAACATTTTATTGCAACATTAAATATGGTAAAAGTAAATAATTGACACAGATTTTCAGGATGCTGCAGCAAAGCTTTTATTGCATCAAACACAATCCAAGTTAGCTTTTCTGTCTCCTTTTCAGCAGTGCAAGTGGCAGCTTTGTGATAAGAACTTTTCTTAAGAGCAGTTATGTTTTTATCCAAAAGTTGAAGACGGCGTGTTGAATTGGGGTGTGATTGGGACTTAACCTTTACAATGGTTAAGTCTCAATCATGTATGTTACGGTTGTGCACCTACTCAACGTCATAAGAACATGCCTAATTTGAACCACCATTCGACTATTAAAACAAAGAAGCCAGTTTTTAAGTAATGAGCTGTCAATCCAAGCTTTCCTTATGGTGATATTAGATGTAAGGTAAAGTACTATTTATGTTCTTAAAACAATGTGGTTTTGGGAACTTATGGATTAACCAAAGACAGTATTTATCACAGCCATTTGCATTACATGCAAAAACAACAGTTAAATGTTGTTTAATGCATGCTGCCATGGCACTTGTTTCCCTTTATTCTGAGTGTACAATTTGGAAAAGGATTGTAGAAAGTCCAGTTTCATCCATACTGTAGATTTCACTTGAAGCATACTTTCTTCTTGCTTGATCAAATGCATGCAACGAGTTCTTTGCTCCTTCTTTATCAACTTTATTTGCTTCACTGCAAATCACTAGTGGTGAAACTGAACATCTCTTTTGAAAGTGGTATTACCAACCAGCAAAACAACTGAAATCTTGAATGACTAAAGTTCATGCCATCTTGTGTGCTTTTCATTGAGCTATAAGTCCACTTAAAAGTACTCTTGAAGCACACATATGAGTATGGCTGAACATTCTAAAAGCTTACTACGTAACACTTGAGAAGTCACTAGTTACTTAGATTTGTTCTCAGAACCCGATGGCAGAAGCATTAAGAATTTTTCAAGATCTTTCAGTACTGTAGATAAGGTAGATTTGGCAATTCCACACTTTTTAGCATATTTACACCGCTCTCCTCCTCTAAGATTTTAAATTTTGTTTGCAGATCTATTCCTGTCTGCTTTCCCTTCACCGCGATTCACTGTCTTACTCACTGGCTTGTAGCATAACATTAGTTGCCATGTCCTGAAAACAACCAGAGTGCCATCTGTGCCTGCTAGAACTTTTGGAAAATAAAGATATGTTGCAGCACACTGAAAATTCATATGTAACTAAGCTTTAATTCAGTAAATTTATGTAAATACAATTTATTCGAGTTTTAATTAAGAGGAAAGAGAAACAACAAGAAAAATTTGAAAGTTTGTGTTAAGTGAAAAAAATCTTAATGACCAGATGACCAGAATCTAATGACCAGATGACCAATTATGAACTGAAAAACAGTTCATAATTTGTGCTAACAAAATTTGCGTTAATCGATAAAACTTCATGTACATTGCTGATGAGACGGAAAGTTTGTTCATGTTAACCGTGTGTTCACCTTAAGTGATTTTGCATTAAAGAGGAAACTGTATTATAACACTGTTTGATACTAAAATGTAAATGTAAAGTTGGACTTATTCTTAAGTGGACATATACCAAACTACCAATGTTCGTGAGATCAGTGCTTAGGGAAATTGTCAATGTATATGCTGCAAAAGGACAGCTTATAATATGCTGAATGTATGTGAAAATTTGGTGTATATAAATTGTCTCCTATTTTTAGAGGGGTAATGTTTCCAGGCTGGTATCTAGATAACTTATCATGTTTGTGTCCCCGCCCAAATCATAGCTCAAGTGAAGTATTTTATTCATTAAATAAGTTTTCTCATTGAAAAATGATTGACCTAGTGCCTGTGACAATCCTACATGGAATGCAAATAAATTTACTGCCATGACTAAAGTATATGGTATGGATATGTAATGTGCTCTTTATACGTGTAACCAGTTTGTGGGAATGCACAAAAATCATAGTATTTTGCTTGTTGTAACTGTAGCTTCATTCACTTACATATGAAGTCTAAATTGTCATCTAGTTAATTTGTTTCCTTTATATCTAACATTTTAATGTGTATTAATTATCTATTTTAAAAGTTTTTAAATATTCTTTTCCAGAATTTAAAGTGATATTTTTGTAAATTCACCTTTTAATTTTACTTACTTAGTATGCTTAGTTTTCTGTTTCTCCAAAAATTTCTTGTTAATAATGAAACATTTATGTGAGTAATAAATGAAGGAAATACAAACAATCAATCCAAACTTTGATCAGGAAATTGAAAGCAGACAGGTTTTTTTTTTTAATTAACTGAAAGTTAATTTTACTGTCTATTGAATAATTATGAATTTATATTTTGTAGCATACTTCAGATCGTATGAAAGTTTTTGAAGAGCTTGAATCAGTAGGCATTATAGGTATTCATTGCCCCAGTATTGATCCTCTGTTGTCATTTTTATCTCGTGTGGCACCTGCAATAGCTTTTGGAAATGCAGTTGTTGTCATTCCTAATGAAAAGTATCCAACTCTAGCATTAAAAATTTGTGAGGTACGTAAATGAATTTGAAAATGTATAGATGTTTTAAAGGTTAATAAAATATACATATTTTAAGGGTTTGTTTCATTAGTACAATCTCAAAGTGTACTAATGAAATGAATGAATGTGAAAATGTGTATATATTTTAAAGGTTAACTAAATAAAACATATATTTTAAGGGTTTATTTCATTAGTACACTCTAAAAGTGTATTAATAAAGTGAATGGGAAAATGTATGTATGTTTTAAGGATTAATTAAATAATTCTCTTGTCTCATTAATAGATTTTCTTATTTTTAGTTATATTTGAAGGCTGTAATCAAGATTATGTTTTGGTATGTAGTGTATTTTAAGGAAGGTTTAGAAGAAATGTTTATATGTATGTTTTTTATAATCTTGCTGTGTTATATATTAGTCACACCACAAAACTCGTTTTAACATACACTATAGATGAGGAAAATGGTATAGAAATCTTTTAGTAACAGTTTTTATTTTTATTACCCAAAAGAGCATTAATCTAGAAGGGCTGTTAGTCTCAAAACAGCATTTTGCATTGGTTCACTGTAAATGGCTGTTTTACTTTTCAAATTGTTGCTACCAAATATTATTGCCTTGTATTATATTTAAAGAAATTAAATAATTAAGAAATCTGCATGAATGCATGTATGTTTCCTGCATTCTAAAAAAGCAACAGTACCTGGAGCCATCAAATTTTGAGTAACGTAGTCTTTCTCCAGAATATGGGCACCTGAAAGCCCAAATTTGGAATTTCAAATTTGTTTTACAGTCTATTTCATATTTTGAAAAACTGTAACAAGTTTTTGATTAACAAATTGAATGATTTTAGAGTGAGCTATGGCAATAAATTTTTGATTAACAAACTCAATGATTTTAAAGTGAGCAATGGCAACACTGTACGGGAAAAAAAAAATTTTACCTCCAGCATGTCAGACTGCCTATTGGAAATTCTAAAGATATGCTGTTATTAAATATTTTTAGCCCAAAGGAACATTAGCCCAAATACTCTTGAACGTGTATATATGTGTAAATGAAAAAAATGCCTGTTTGTGCATATTATAAAAATCTGACAGCTTTTAGATTTTCTTTTACTTAATTTTATTTATTTATTATTTATTTTTAATGCAAGAGAATTTTATATTGAAAGCTGTGAATGAAAGGCAATTGGAGGAAAAATAGTAACAGCAATAACTTAGTTCAGCAAATATATTACAATGTGTTTTCATGCTGGCAATAACATTGTTAACCCCAGTTCAGTAAATTCCACTTCTTCAACAATGTGATTTTCAGGGCATTTACATTTCTAGTAAGAGAATGTCTCCATGTAACTACTTTTCCATGGTACTTCTATAGGTTATCTATCACATTAAGAGCAGGAGATTTTGTTGGTTTCAATATCACTCAGTGTCTTCACTTTCAGGGAATTCATCAGCAAAATTTACATGATGTGGTTACGTATTATTGCCCAATGAACTATATGCACTTCTGAAAAGTCTTACATAAAGTTCTAGGATCACATCCTGATGTCTCTGGGTAGTTATTACACATTCATTGTTGAAAATGTGTAGGGGTGTATGTTCATTTATCATTACTCCTTCCTAATATGATCACATCTGCTACCAAAATGGTCACATTCCAAAGTGTTCAAAGGAAGATTTCATGTTCTTGACCACCTCCATATGTAAACATGTTTAGAATCAAATGTTAAACTAAACCTTGACTCGTCGGTAAAGAGAATATGAGACCAATGATGTTCATGCTAGTTCTTTGCGCCAGTTAAAGCAATCTCCCTTTTGTAGTGAAGACAGTGAAACACATACTTGGCTGTCTGGTATAAAAGCTTTTTTCATAAGGCTTTCTGTATACAGTTTGCTGTCTTAACACAGTTCTAGTGCTGGATGCAAGCTTGGAACTTAACTGCCGAGTAATAGACTTCCTGTTACAACATACAGTTATTGCCAGGTATTGATCTTGGGGAGTAGTTGTTATTTGTTTATGATCTTGTCCTGGCTTTTTTACGACAGTTCTAGAGTTCTGATATTGTTTCTATAGCAAAAAGACTGCATTGAAATATTCACACATCTCACTGTTTCTATGATTATCTCACTTGTTTCTAAATGGCCAATGATTCGTCACTTCACTGATTCTTCCAAATGACACCTCAGAGCCATGACTTGCTTTTGAGTCCTTACACACCAAAGTCAAATGTTTTATTCCAAAAATTCACTTAGATATGCACTTTATTCAAGGTGCTTGATTTATTATCAGATAATATAACACCTTGATTTGCATATCAAAAACCGTTTGATCACTTTTGATTTGATAATGCTGAGTAAACTTGTCATTCACACAATTTCCTACCAAAATGGATTACATTAATTGGATATTTCATGCAGTACCACTACTTTTGGGTATGTAAAGACTTTGGACATGAGTGTAGTTACTAGCCTTGCTGATTTCTATACAAAGCTTTTTAAAATTCATCATTTTGATTACATTCAGAAGGTAAATATGTATCAAGTTAAGTCATTTTATATCCTATTATAATCAACACAGTGAATGTTCTTTTTGTTTTGCTGCATAGCTGTAAAGATATTAAATTTTACTCTATCACTTATTTTCCTTATGCAGAATATCTTGCTAAACTGAATACTGAGGAATTTGGCCGCCCAACCAGTTATAGTGGTTAGCGTCGCTGACTGCCATGCTGGAGGGCATGCGTTTGAATCCCAGAGAAGGCATAGATGTTTGTAAATGTATAGTGTTGGTGCAGCATTCTAAATGTGTTTTAAAACTCTCGTATGGTTTGGTGGGAGGGAAGAGAGGTGGGAGACCCTCGGACCTGTCCCCCTCCCAGGGCGCTCTCCATCAAAATTGGGGCAGAACTGATCTAAATAGTACTGTCACCTGAATGGTGCTCAAGGGCTGTTGCCAACAGCAGGCATAATCTAGCACTTTTTGCCACAAGGAATTTCATGGGCTTAGGCTGACTATGTCAGACAAGTGAGCATAAGCAACAACAACAACAACAACTAATGAATTTAAATTTTTCTGTTTTAAATCCAATCACCTAATCCAGTCAAAAAGAATGTTAAAAAAAGAACCTGTAATATCTAAGACTTTATGAAAGTTTTGAGCTTCGCACATAATATTTTTTGTTCAAAAGAAAGTGAAGATTTTGATTGTAAATAGAATACTTGTATAGTACAGTGTAAAATCAGCAATTGTGCATATGTAATGCAAATATTAATGCATATATTGGGTATGTGATAATATGAAAATCAGTTTAACTACAGATTAATGTTATAGAACATTTTTTAAACTTGTGATTCATGTATGTTCTTTTCTTTTTTTTTTTTTTTTTTTTTTTTCATGGGCATTATTTTTAGAGTTATATACTATTTTGATATTAGTCAAAAATTGATTTTTTAAAATTTATGACAATATGCATTTTAATTTTATGAATTTTAATAGAATTATTCAATCAAATGGTAGTTTGTTTTTCTTTAATATTTGCTAGGCTGAAAATTTTTCATGTTCCTTTGCTGAGGGAGTAATCACTGAATTCTCAAATTAATAGCAAGTTCATTGAAACTCGTGATAAAAGCATGAGATTTTTCTGTTTGCAATATATATTTGTGCATAAAGGTGCTTTATATTGTTGGTAAATTTAGCCTTGTATTAATCTATTAATACCCTTTAACTTCAGTTCTGCATTAGCAAATTATTGCATTTGTGTCATGATCTGCAGTTATGTTAATACTTTGGTATTAATATTTTGATTTTATTCTTATCCTTTCTAAATATTCTGAATGTATAGTTTATGTTAATTTTTACTGAAATGAATGAGCACTTTTTAGAAAGAATTTTGTATTATTATTGAGTTCTAGTTTTTACTTGTCTTTGTATTTATTTCGGTTCCTGTTCCCAAGGTTGATATTTTGTTGTCATTAATAGATTACAAGACGTTTGTTTAAATGAATGGGCAAATAGGGAGCTTAGTCGCAGATGAATAAATAAGATAACTGTACACTTGTAAGCATAGTTCAGATTGTGTTAACATTATTTTTCTGTAATTCACATTGGAGAAATAGATTTTTAATTTCTTTAGTGTCTCAAAATGCTGAAACTTTAAGCAGTGATGCATTATAAATTATCTGATTCGTGAACAGTGTACTATTTTTTAGTATTATATTTCATTGATAACTCATTAATTAGATGTTAAAAAGCGCAAATGAAAATTTTCATTTTGCAGCTGAGGATGATGGTTCGGTAAATCGAAACTAGTCCCATGAAAAATTTGAAAATATAATGGTGATTTTTGTTATTTGGCTTCTAGGTTAATATTTGTTCGGCATATTATTGTATCTTAATTATAAATCATCATGTTTAATCTGTAAGAACTTAAGAAGTACTTCCTTATTATGGCCTCTGTTATTTAATTGGTGTCAAGAGCTTTCATTATTAATGGATTACACCAAAGTGGCAATCTTATCCAGAGGTTTTGTGATGATTGGCTATTAGGATTATTGGCCATTTAGTGATGGTTTGGAGAAGGCTGTGGGCAGAGTTGCTGCTTTAGTGCAATCCATTAGGAAGACAGAATTTTGGTGTTAGTTAAATAATGGGATTATAATAATGAGGAAATACAAGGAATTTACATTAGATTTTGAATAATAATAAATGCATGGTAAATTTTATATTTGTATATTTCTAAAATAATAAATGTCTGTATATTTCTGAACAACTAAACCTTTTTTTTTTACATCATATGAAAGTTATATATATTTATATGACATTTTAGAACCATTTGTAGCTAATTGTGCTGTGCTTTAGTATATTTATTTTTGGGGCATATATCTAGCAGTCCAGTTTTAAATATGCATTGTTGATAATAAATATAAAATATGCATTGTTGATAATAAATATAAAATATGCATTGTTGATAATAAATATAAAATATATTGTTGATCTGCTTTATTAAAAAGTGCTGTGTTCCTGTATTATAATACCAATATTTCACAATGGTTTTAGATTTTCAAATATTCTGATGTTCCTGGTGGACTTATAAATGTGATCACTGGCACTGAAGAAACATTGATCAAAGATCTCGTGGCCCACAGGGATGTAAACGCTATGTGGTTCTCTTCACAAAATCAAGCAGAAAAGTGCATGCCTTATAGCTTCTGTCCAAAAAGAAGTTTTATTTACAGTTCCTCTTGGCATAATCCAGATAAAAGCCAAAGGGCATGGAAGTTAATATTAGAATCTACTCATGTAAAAACTGTATTTTTGCCAGCTGGAGATATTTTTGCAAATTGATGAGGTTTATATTTTTTATGAACAAATCTCTAGCACATTTTGTGTCATGAATATTTGTGTTAGGTAAATATCTTTACCCACATTAGTAGGATTTTTCAAATGTTTTGGGGATCAATAATGATGTTTAATGTAACTAAATAAATTTGATTGCACCCAGAAATATATAAAATCAAAAAGGAGGATTTTGTTTTGTTCCATTTCATGTCTAAAATTATAATACAGCATTTCTGTATTTTAATGATGATGCAGATATGTATATCTGAAATTTTAATCTAGTATTTCATGATATCTTAGATTATTAGACAGTTTAATGTTTATCTCACCTTAGCCAGGTATTTGAAATCAAGATTCTTGAATAATTCTTCGTGAAGATTTTTCTTTATTTTATGTTTAACTGTAATTCCTTTTCCTTTGTATTTTGTGTCATAACAGAACTGTTAATCTGTACATAGTATTTGATATGCTGAAGTGGCATATATACAGCTCAAAAGTGACATCTGTTAATTAGAAACCAAGATTAGGTATGCTGTGTTTGATGCAACTGCAGATCATTCACTTTTAGTCTAATTATGTTCTTTTTTATTAGTAAGTATGTTTAATAGACAAGTCAGTGGATAATTTACATTGCCTTTCACAGCTTTTGTTCCTTTGTAAAAAGTGTTTTTACAGTATTCATTATCCTTTTGCAAAATCTTTCTTTAAAAGCTCAAAAAGGACTGAGTAGCCATTCTATTCTTATATTCAAAAAGATGATGGTAAATGCTTTAAGACAATGTATATAAAATGCAAAGTTTATTGTGTAGTTCCTTTAAAAGGTAACATCCATTCAAACACCTACTCACTTGGTGTAGCCTCCTGACATTCTTGAAAGCACTGGTAAAAAGATCGTTTTGATTTTTTGTTGTTCTGACTATTTTCAGTAGCATGAATTGTGTGAAAATGCTGATCTAGAATCATTTTAAAAGAGAAAACTGTGGTGTTAGAATCTGAGAAAATTATTTGCTGAATAAAATGCTTGTGACATTGAGCCATATGGTCTCAAAAGATCTTTAAACAGAGTTCGTAGCGGTCCTTATAAGTGCTTATAAGTCCTTATATTTGAAAATAAAATATAAAGGCCCTTATAGGTGCTTATTTTTTCTTTTAAAGCCTTTATTTTTTGTTTTTAGTGCTTATTTTTTGCTTTTAGTGCTTTTTTTTTTAATGAACAAGCAATTTTCCCCCGTACCAAAGCCGAAACTAAATAAACAACTTTTCTTCCTAATATGGAATGTCAGATGATGAATCATACTCCCGGAAATAGCTTTTCCCCCTTTCTCTGCATTAACATAAGCTTTGATGTGCGCAGAGAGTACAGACAGGTGCCCGTCGTTTTTTTGGGCAAAGAATTGCAAAAGCGGTAGAAAATTCCGGTACATTCGGCATTCTTTTCCTCCCACCCAAATACTACACACGTTTGAATTTCTATCAAGATCTTAATAATTTGCATCATTCTCGTTCCGCTTGGTCAGTTCATATTCGTGTTTATTATGATCGTTATGCTTATATTATGAGTATGTATGTATGAATGTTTATAATAACATAGTTGCAGTAACTGCTGATGTATAGTAAACTTCCGAAAATGGTTGTGTTTTAACACAGATTAGCTTTCTAAGTAATAATATTTGGAATGGCTTAAATAAAGGGAAAGTAATGGAATAGTCAAAATAATTTAATTTTTTTGGCCAATACATTATACAGTACGAAGGTTGGGAGGTTCTCCCCTTTCTCCGCAAAATCTCGAATATTGAAACTGTTACAGTTCGCTGCAAAATAAGCAGCGGACTTTTTTTTTCTGTCACTTTCCAATCTGCATTGAATAGGACTAAAAGTTCTGCGGTCTACCAACCCAAGCGAAGAATGATTCTTTTCCGGAAATTTAACGCAGTCTAATGAAAAACACCCCAGATTTGTAAGTCTCTTTCTTTTCCTTTATTAGTTCTTTATTCTCCCAATACCGGCAGCTGTTGATTCCGATTGTGTAATATCGCTTAGAGAAGAATTACGGCGCACGCGTTGCGCAATAAAGTTTGCGATATTTTGCAGAGATAATTAATTTTGATGTTCAGTCCGAGATTTGTTTACGAACACTGAAAAGAGTTTTACTGTGCTTGCTAAGCAGAATATTTTTTCAGTTCCTTTGGTTTATTTTTATATGATGCACATATCAAAATGTCAAAAGCATTTATTTAGCAGAAAAATCTAAAGAACGGCTACAGTCTACCCCCCCCCCCCCGCTCCTCTTTTTCAAGTTTTGCTCGACTGTCCGAATATTCGTCAATTTCCAAGTATACGGGTTAGTTAAGCTTTTACTCTTAAAGGATGACTACATGAAACAAATTTCTGTCTTCTGATTTCAGAAATGTTCCTCTTTTTTACTTAAATTACTTTGCTTGCAATATCTGTTAAGAAAAAATTGATATACAATGAAAAAAATTAGAAAATATTCAGAATTTAGATTTAAATCATTTTTAAATATCAAATATGAGTGGAAAAATAAATTGTATTTATTATTAGGTTCCAAGCGAATACAATAAATATGCCTTATTATTATTTATTTTCTCTATTTTGAACTGAAATTTCATCATATAAATCTTGTAATATGGTAGTTTAGTTCTGCATAGTTTTTTTTTTTCTCTTCATTGTAAACTAGTTCTGTAAATTTGAACTGTTATTTAAAATTTTAAAAAAAAGTAATTATTTTCCTATGGTTGAGGTAATGATTATTCTCTCTTAATAATACTGCATTTCTCATATTTTAAATTACAAGTCTAATTTTAAGGTTATGTAGTTGTGTATAATGTAATTAGACAGGTGCTTATTTTTTTTCTTATAATGTGCTTGAAAAGTGCTTATAGGTGCTAATTTTTTTAACTAAAATGTGGCTATGAACCCTGTTTAAATTTTCAGGAGTTCTTTTAATTTTGGTAATGCTGCTTGACGCAAATTCTAGTCCTCAGCTGAGTTATCTTCATTTCTAGGTACATCAGCTATTCAAGTCACAACCTCTTTACCGGGTGGAGGGAGTCTTTACTGCACTTTCACTACGTAGCAAATCCAAATCCCTAACGCCCTCGTTTATTCACTGCACGGTTGCCGCTTCTTGACGAGTAGGACCCACTTTTCAACTTTTCGTAATTTCACCATTTGCTGATTGAGCACTTTCTATTTCTTGATCAAATGAAAAGATTTCTGAAATTTCAGTATGTGGTGACTAAGGTTGGAAGTCATCACTACAGTTTTGATTCAGTAGTTAACTTTTGTTCAGATGGAACTGTTGCTGAACTTTCCTTAATTTCAAAACTAGTTGATTGAGAAATTGCCGTTTGTTGAATTATTTCCGTACGCAACGAAATTCAATCACGTGATATCTTCAATCGAATCTGATATTTTCAATAGCGTTTGCGATATCGTTTTGCACCGACCAGTGACTAGCCAATACGATACACTAAAAACACGGTTAATTGAACTGCATTCTAAAATTCGCTGTAGCTGACAAAATTGCGAAAGAGTTGTAGCTCACAAAAATACGAAAATTTATGGTCTTCAATTTGGCGACCTCCTGCGAGGTCCTTCAAATGTAAAATATGTGCTTTAATATTCTTTAGGTGCAAGTTTTGTAAAAATATGAGTCACATGTTCCTTATTATAAATACTGTGTTGTAATGAAAATAACTTTGTTGAACTGCAATTTTTTTCTGGCATTTTAAGAGGAGACATATGCACTCCAAACGAATTTGGTTGTCCTGGTGGACTGCATTTAGGGTGTTTTCTAACATTACTTTTAATTATATCATTACTTGCAAACTCTTCATTTTGCTGTGGAAGGGATTGTTTCTCATCCTATTATAGAAGCAATTTTTCGAATTCGAAGGAATAAAGTTATTCCTTTCAGAAAATACCCCTATATATATGAGTAATTTAGAGTTTCAATTATGGTTTCCTGCTAATTCAGAAGTCAAACAACAAAAATCAGCGTAATATTTGCAAAATTTTCACAGGACTAGTTTCGATGGTTTTACCGAACCACCATCTTCAGCTGCAAAACCGCAAATGAACAAGATAGGAAATAATGATTAGATAAGATAAGAAAGCCTGGACAAGAATAAGCAAGTGGCGCCATCTGTTGGCGGAAACCAGAACTAAAACATAATTTCTCTAAAAGCCGAAGGCAAATTTGGATTGGAATTAGGATCGTTAACTAGAACAGAAAGATTTTTATGAATGTGAAATGCCTCTAGAAAATCCAGTTCTCCAATGGAAGATGTTTTTTGAATAATTTTGGCAGCAGAAAAATTGAAAGTGTGATTTTCGGACCAACAATGTTGAGCAACAGAAGACCTCTGTGTTTCCTTTTTTCTAACATATGCCTCATGTTCTTTGACGCGAAATTTTAAGGCTCTCTTAGTTTGGCCAATGTAAATTAAACCACACTGGCAAGGAATCCTATAAATACCCCAGGAATTCATATTCGGAATGGGGTCCTTGAGTATAGAAGTTGGAATTTTATTGATGGGAGAATAAACAACCCGAAAGTTAAATTTCTGCAAAATATGTGCAACTTTATAGCTAATTGATGGAAAGAAGGGAATGGCAACAGAATTTTTATAATCTCCTAAAATAAGAGTGTGGCTTTTAGTGTGTTGAGATGAGAATTTTTTTAACTGCTTGATTAATAATGTTGGGTGAAAAGCCCCTGTCAATAGCTATTGCTTTTAAATAATTTAGTTCTTCATCAAGGGCTAGTTTGGAGGAGCAAACTTGAAGAGCACGGAAAACATAGGAATAAAATGAAGCTAACTTTTGTTTAGTCGGATGACATGATTTAAAGTGTGGTGGAAGGCAAAAGATGAAGGTTTACGGTAAACTGTAGTACTGAAATTGGATGTGTTACGTGTGACCAGAATGTCGAGAAACGGAAGAGAATTGCAAGTCTCAAGTTCAAAAGTGAACTGAATAGCAGGATCGATAGAATTCATTGTTGAAAGAACTTTATTTAAATCATCTTTATTACCTTCAAACAGGGTAAAAGTATCGTCTACGTAGCGGAACCATGCCGGGAAGTTTAAAGTTTCAAACAGTTTTGATTCATAATAATGCATGTAGATATCAGCCAGGATGGGACTGAGAGGGCTTCCCAATCCCTCAGTTTGCTTGTAATATTTATTTTGGAAAACAAAATGTGTTTGTTTCAAACAGAGTTCAGTGAGAGAAATTAGCTCATCAATTTCGATGCAAGAGAAATGAAATTCGCGAATTCTGGTTTCTAGACATCTTAATGCACCCTCCACTGGGACATTGGTGAATAATGATTTTACATCAAAAGAAACCATGAGTAAATTACTAGGAGAAATGTTTTTAACCTTTTTTACAAACTCTATTGAATTTTTTATGGTGTAAATGTTATTGTCTAATAGAGTGGAAAATCTAGAAACTAAATATTTAGCTAATGGATACGAGGCAGTACCTAAATTTGATACAATAGGGCGGAAAGGAACAACCACTTTTATGAATTTTGGGAAGAGCATATAATCTGGCACAATTCGCAACAGATGGGATAGCGAATGTTTTAAGTTGCTTGAAATGATTTGCGAAGATTTGATCGCAGTTTTTATTTTGGTATAAGTCCGAAGGTGAAGGATCTTTAGGGATCGGATTATATGGTCCTTCGTTTAAGAGTTTAGTGACACCATCGATGTAAGTGTTCTTATCCATGACGACTATCTGGCCACCTTTGTCGGCCTTTGAAATGATAATATCCGGGTTAGAATGAATTTCGCGCATTGTAGCTCTTTCTCTCGCAGTTAGATTTGGTTTCAAAGGTTTATTATTGAATTTCACATTATGAGCGATAAGATGCCTAATCATTTCTTTCTGTGAATCTGAAACTTTACTGAACTTGAAAGCTTTTTCGATAGGAGCCAAAATCTTTGGAATTGAGGGTTTACAGGTTTGTGAGAAGTTAAAATTATATTTTAGAATTCTCTCTTGTTCTTCTGAAAGACTAACATTAGAAATATTAACTATTGGCTTGATGTTTACAATGGGAAGATTTTTTGAACTACTTGAACTGGAAAACTGTAAAAGAAGTTTTTCGAATTTAACTGCAAGGGTGTTTTTATGACGG